CATGTAGTCTGTCATATCCCTCATCCATGAATGTATGACTCTATTATCATGCAATCTGACGTAGTGACCGTTGTATGAAACGAAAACATCGTGCAACCTTAACCAGGCAGTAGCATAGTTTTATTTACAGACTGGAATCTGGAAATAGCAGGAAGGTCGATTTTTAGCACTTACCTCTTATACAAAATCATGTCCTCTTAGAGTGACCTGATCTAGCTAGTGATTGTGGCTGTGTCATTTAGAATAGTTTTCAAGTGCACAACTTAAAGCATAACGAGGCTGTAAAGGCAGACTAGATGAGAGATGAGTCCCCATGATGACATGTAAAATGCAAGACAGCCTCGGTAGTCGTATAGCCATTTGTTAACAACGGCCTTTTTTAAGGCATGTAAAAACAAAAAAAATCACGAGTGGGGTATTTACTGGTGTAGTTTAGGTCACAGACAAAACGGGAAAATGGATCAGCCTTGTGTAAACCACAGACCTTATCTATGGAGCCCGGAAGGTACACAGGAGTATATATATATATATTTTTGGCCATGACTGTACACATATATATAAAAATAACACACAGCTGTAGAGATGATGTAGCAGAGAGCCAACTGGAGGTGGGAATGAAAGAGAAATACTAAGCCACTTTAAGCCAGTTTAAAAATAGCCCTCAGAGTTTCCACAGCCTGCTTTGTAGTACGTGATTTCCCATAACATCTGTGCCATAGAAGTCTGAATACATCACCAATGACAGGACAGGGTTAATGGGACAAAGAGCATATCCAGGAAGTGTTACTTGGAAAAACAGTAGAAATGTAACAAACTGCAGGAGACAACTGTTACATGATCAGAGGATCTGAGAACCCTGCAGGCCATTTTGCCTTACTCACTGACATGTTTAATGGTTTTATAAAGTTTATAGTCTGATCTCAGCCCCTCAGTTTTTTGTCTCCGTCTTTCTCTCCCTGTAGCTGCTCAATGACTGTAATTAGAGTTCATCGCCAGGAAAAACTAATGATTAATACTCTCACACAGACTGTATTTCATTGCACTGATGTTGGAACAGAAGCGAAAACCTCACCCTCAGCCTTGTCTTGCTGTGTGTTGTTCCCTGGTGTCTTTACTGACACCATGCAGCAGCAACAGGACCCATATGTCTAAAGTTCATCTCACGGTGCTTTGTGACGAAGACTAATCTCTCCATCAAATTATTTGTTTATAGCACAGAGCAAAGTCACAGACAGCAGATGAATGTAAATATTAAGATTATAAAGACTAGGATGATAAAGAATTTAAAGTAATCTTGTAATCCTGTGGAGAGAAACATCTGTAGCCTTAATCTAATAGTGACCACAAGTAACATGAGCTGGAATCAGATGGTGGAAACCAACAAAGTACATATACGGTATTTACTTACTTACTCTACCTGCAAATTTGAAGTCTTTGTACTTTACTTGGAAACTTACACTACATAATACTTCTACGTTCCTGTTGTAGAAATCCTAAGACAAGTGTATACATACTGTAAGATGTGTTATTTTTTCTAGTCATAGAGAAGGATGTCTTTTAGTTGACCACTATTTTCCTTTTGGTTTTTGGCTCACTAGATGTTGATGTGTCCTGTGTGAATGAACATTTTTGTGTGCATTTGTTCCTGCAGATCTTGAGTTACCTTGTGGCGTGTGACCACCTGTGTCAGCTGGGTTATGACATGGCTCAGGTAGAAGAAGCTCTGGAGATGTTTCAGAACTGTGAAACAAAGGTAAGACATGCAGAGAGCATCTTTAACCCTCTCAGAGACTTATAAAGGTTTGCACTGTTCCACTCATAAAACTGGTTTGATTTTAATATTTTATATACAGTATTAAAACAAACAAACAACAATTTCTTCTTTTTGAGGCGGAGGAGTTCCTTCACCTGCTGAGCCAGTTTAATGAGATGGGCTTCCAGCAGAATGCCATCAAAGAGGTACTGCTGATCCATGAGAACCACCGCGAACGGGCCCTTGAGGAGCTGATGATGCATGTGGCCTGATGGACAGCAGATCAACAGACACACTTACATAACCCCACTGCAGCTCATATGAGATGCATTTTGTAAAAGCACTTTGAAAGATCACCTAAACGCAGATTCTTATGGCTGTAGATGGACAGTGGCCTTGACAAAGGCAAAGTATATCATTGATACAAACAGTGTTAAGGATGTTGACGTTTCCATATTACATATTTTCATTCATGTGTTTCAGACATGTTATTCATTATGCTCACACTTTGTTTTGTTTTGGTGAATTATTTTTTGTGCAAGAGTCTGACATGATGTGAGTATTTCTAACTGTGACAGATTTATTAAAGCCATTTTTTTATTCAGTGTATTTGACTGCATGAATACTCCCTCTGGCTTTCTATTGTTATTCTATTTTTTCTTCTCTGTATTCTGGCCTGATTTACCCCGAGTTCCTAAAATTAATCTGACTGGGAAGATATAAAATTATCCAAAGTTTGTTTCCTGTGAAAACAGGAGCACTGTCCCTTAGAGGCTGACTCCCATGAACAGAAAACTTTGAGAAACATCAGCAGAACATAGTCTTATTGATTCAGTCACATCACCTGAACAGATCCTTCCTGTTTATCACAACTTCAGTATTATTTTGAAGAACTGCCCTTCATGTCTCTCATTTAGCAGATAATTGCCATGATTTTCCTACAGAGACAACCAGGCTGTAAGCAGCCAACAGTCTTGACAGATTAAACCTGTTTTCTGGAGGTCAAACTGAAAAAGAAGCAGCTGAAATGTTGGCTGTGATGTCTCAGTGAGCAAGAAAAGTGCATGTGAACATAATTAAGGACAGAAATTTGAAAGAGTTGCAGCAGGAAGTCAGTTTGTAAGCTGGATGTTTATAACAAAGTTTTTGTGGACTACTTTTATTCTTCATCTTAGTTTAACCTCTTTCATATAAGTTTGTCTGACCTTGAGGTTTGTTTGAACCCTTTTCTGATATTTTGTGCCTCTGAACGTATTTTGAACCATGTCCAAAATGCAGACAATACAACAGTAGTTATACTGTATATCAGACTAAATTCTCAAAGGAACAGCTCTTTAATGAAATTCAGCAGCTCTACAGGTTATCTGAACACTGTGGGGATAATCTGGGACAGTCACTGAGGTCCGTGAGGTTCTGATCCTGAGTCCGAGCCAGACCATTCCCCATGAGGGACATAGTAGCTTTAGGCAGCCTCATCAGAAATGTATATATGGATCCTATCCTGCCAAAACCCTTCATTTCACGCTTCACTATCCATTTGGAATCATCCACGATGAACTCTGTGGTCACATGTCTACTAAGAGTGAACACAGAGTCTCCTCTGACCACAGCAGTGAGCAGAGAGCCTTTACTGTTCCCGTACTGACTGGACATGGCTGTCCACTGACCCGAGGTCAGGTTGTAGCAGTCCATCACACAAAGTAAAAAGTCAGCACATGGTCCATTTCGCATTACATACAGATTGTCCTTATGAGCCACCATATAAAAACCATAACTGCCTTGTCAGACAAGTGTGGTGACCAGAAGCCACTTGTCCTGTTCAGGCACATACTCATGGATGTCTGTGGCCCCTTTCCCTTTCCAAAGACAGATGAACATCCTGCTCATGGTTACAGCTAAGGCTACTGAGGGTGCAGTGGAGGGGCAGGGGGGAGACAAAACTCCATCTCCCATCAGACACCCTGTATTTCTGCGCAGATGACAGGGTCTTCATGTTGTACTCCCCTCCTACAGCGTACAGGCAGCCCTCCTGACCTGTCAGAGTGAAATTGTAGCGGAGCTGTTGGGGACCACAGATGGTGGACCATGTGTCAGCTGCAGGGTCATAACAGAAACCAGTCCCTACTACCTTCTTACTTATATCATGCACTCCTCCAATGATGTAAAGTTTGTTGTTGAGGACAGCCACGCCTGCCATGGTGGTGCTGGTGCTCCCAGGTAGATGTGTCAGGACCCTCCACTTGCTGTGCTCTTCATCCAGGTAGCAGATGGCCCTCTGGATGTCCTGCAGCAGCTCAGTGGAAGGAGAGTGGCTGCAGACTGCCATGTAGCTGCTCGGGAGAAGATACTTGATGTACTTGACCAGCTTGTTGGGTAAGGAGTGAATGTCCTCTCTCAGGTCAGTGTACATGTCTCTGATGAATAAGGCTGACCTGTGGTACAGCTCCCACACGCCATAGGTGGCAACTGTGTGGTACATGAGTAAACAGTTTTCAGAACTGATGATATTCATCAAGTGCTTTGTGAGAGCAGGTGCCTGGAGAAAAGCCGTACATTCGATTGCTTCCACAATCTGGTCACTGTTGAGCATGGGACGCTCCCCCTCCAGGACCTGCAGCAGAACCAGGAACCCCAGAACCCCCACAGACCGCAGCTGGATCTCCTCCTGTTGGCATTCTCTCATTCCTGACTGAAGTACTCACAGTTCTCAGCCAGAGTGCTTTTATCCACAAAGAAAGAGCTGTCATCAATGTTGACTCTCAGGCTGTGCAGTGGCTCACAGAGCCCTCCTGGCTGCTGGCTGAAATGTGGACAGCTGCTGGACTCCATCATTTCCCTGTGGTCATGACAAAAAATTTTGATCAAACTGACATCCAGATCAAAAGAGAGCACATCTACTGTGTTTACCGTATACTGCTAGGGAGAGTGAGCACCTCCTGTTCAGAGCACATGGTAGCTGACAGGGGATTCACTATTTGTCTTCCCACCTCCGAGAACAGAGTCTATGCATAGTAGGTGGACGTGTGACAAAGTTCAAGTACATTATGATGACATGCAGCCAGACCAGAAAGGGGAGCCAGATAATGGCAGAGGAACTATGAATGTGGACATAATTCATGTTGCTCTTTGTTTGTGACAGCTGAAGATTTGATTGTCCTTGAGGAGCAGGAATAGTCAAGCTATAACAACAGGCCATTCCTTTGGTTACATATGATATAGTACCAGTGATGTGCGGTCAGGGGAGGCAGGT